CAGCTGAAAATCGGAGAAAAATCGTTGGTCGTTCCCTGGGTGGGCACTTGCCCAACGTGCTTCTGCGGAGTCGGGCACCAAGGAAGAGCCACAATCCTGACCCGCGGCTGCTCGTCCCTGCAGGGCAGGTCCCCTGGAGGAGGGGCGGGAGTGCGCCCGGGCGGCTCTTCCCCCCCTCCAGTCCCGGGCGCCCAGGCGCCGCTGAGCCAAGAGCCGGGACTCCGCCCCGGCACGCGGCTGGGCGGCTGCGATGCCACTCACTACCCAGAGTGGCGGCATGAGCCAATCAGCATGCAGAACCGGGCTCGCGGGGCGGGGCCTGCCGAAGCTGCGCGCGCACTCCCGCCCGCTGCGCTGGGCACTTGGCCTTCTGTCCACCGCACCCGCCAGGGCCTTCGAGACGGGTCAGCGCCCAGACCCGGCCACAGCAGGGACGCTTGTCAAATGCAGGCTTTCCTTGCCGGTCCGTCTTCCTCCTGTAACCATGGATCGACAGCAGCAGACTGGGCTGGGGCCTCAGCGCGAGGTCCGAGGCTGCTGCACCCGAAGAAAGCCCGTGCAGTGTCAAGCTCCCCTGTACTCCTCTGTCTGTCCCATTCTGTGCCTGTCCCATTCCCGCCCCCCACCGCGCCCCCGGCCGCGATGGAGACCCTCGACACCCTCCGTACCCAGGTCACGGCCCTACACGGTGCATTCTGACTGAATGCAAGGACTGTAGTTCTTATTCTGGTATTTGCACTCCTTCCCTTTCTCAGCTACTCCGATGACACTGAAGCTGGTCCCGATGGTTTGTGAATACTTCCCAACCTCAGTCAGCAACTGTGAAGGATGTCTTTATTAAGTTTCCTCCTTTCGTGGGCACTCACAGGAAATGATGCTGAAAGCTACAAGAGGGTTCTATACACACACACACACACACACACACACACACACACACACACACACACATTTCTACACTTTGTTGTTGGAAAAGAAAACGGGTCTTTGATCTTTCACTAGCTCTCCCCCTAACGTTATCAGTATTTCCTATAATTACCTAGTTATCAGTTTTGAACACACAATGGTTATCGAAAAATAGATGTCTACAACATGGAAAGCCTCTATCATAGAAGGCAAGCAGTGGTAACTCAATAAAGCCAACAACACTTCAGCTCTTGTAACTTTCTAGGGATTCACAACTAAAATATAGATTGTATATGGAGTACAAGCAGGACAGGGAAGAGAGGATCTCAAAATCCTTAAATAGGCACGTCCTTAAAAATTTGCACATAAAAAATTTGCGCCCACACGTCATATACACACAACATATGCATGTTATTAAGGTGACTGGGAAGTTTCTAGCTTTTGACTTCAATCACCAGCTTTCCTAGATTTTTTTTAAAATGATGGGGCCCATGATGAGAACAGGCACCACTCCAAGAGCTAAAAGTAATTAAGAAATGAGGCAAAAGTTACTTCTCATGGGCTTATGTTCTAGTCACACCAAATTGTGTAGGAATCTCCAACACACTAATGGTAATTGGTCCTTTAAAAATGAATTAATGGGGGCTGGAGGGGTGGTACAGCAGGTAGCGTGCTTGCCTTGCATGTGGCCGATACGGGTTTAATTCCTGGCACTCTATACAGTTCCCTGAGCACCACCAGGAGAGGTTTCTGAGCCAGGTGTGCCCCCACCATCAAAATTAATATTTAAAAAAATGGATTAATGAGACCAAGAGTACAGTGGTACAAGCACTTGTCTTGCACACGGTTAACCTGGGTTTGACCCCCCAATACCACTACGTCTCCAGAGCACCACCAGGATGACCTCTGAGCACAACTGGGTGCAGTCCCCAAAACAAAAAATAAAAATAGATTCACAATGTGTTCACCTGTCAGTAAGTATATGAAAAGTTCAGGGAACTCATAAAAAAATTAATAACCTGGGGCTGGAGTGATAGTATAGCCGGTAGGGTAATTTGCCTTGCATGCAGCCAACCAGGATTTAATCCCCAGAACCTCAAATGGTTCTCCAAGCCCAAAGGAGTAAACCCTGAGCACTCAGATGTGGTTCCCAAACTTAACAGAACAACAACAACAAAATCCAAACAATACAGGCTATAAATGGAAAGCATTTAACCTAAACATTGATATTATCAAACTAATTTCAGCAGTCCCAGATCCCAACAAGAGATGGGTTTAAAACCTGAAGCCATTACTACAGGGAACCATAAATTTGAGTTGTTTAAGATGCTCATGAAGTCATGTAACTTGTCTTATGAGATGAGAAAATTATATCTGAGGGCTATTTTTATCCAGAGTCCTACCTGACATAAATGCTTTCTCAAGTAACACTTTTATACCTCATTTCAGTAATCCTTATTAAACAAAACCTAAAGAAATAAAACACCAAGACCACACAGAAATAGTGTTTGTTAGTATCCTGTTGGTAAGGGGATATTTAAGAAAAAGTTTAGGAATTATATATTCAGTCTGAGAATTCTATGTTGGAGGTAGCCTGACAATGTTCTGGCTTTGTTTCCTCTCCTCAACCCCCCCCCCCCATACCACAAAGTTTAAGGTTTAATATTAGTCAAAAATAAACCCGTTATTTTATAAAGAACTACTCTGAACCACATTGCTACTGTGTTTTTTCCTAACTTTGTCAATAACAACTGTACCATTTAGTAAACTGGTATGATATGCTATTACTGTTTTGGGTATTTTGCTGAAGTATCATTACTTTCTGGTGGAACATGATGAACATCAAGGCAGGCACGCATGGAGGCGCTGTGCAGGGCTCCGGCAGCTGAAGACCTCCAGAACCACCATGCTGAGACCACTCTCCGCACACATGAAGGTACCGGCAGAGGAACAAAGGCACGCGGGTCCCGGGGCTGAGATCTCCAAGCCTACCCGGATTGGGGCTGAGCATCCTCCACCCAGATCCTCCAAATTCCAGTAGGGGGGGTCCACACCCACCAACTGGCCCCCTGGCGCCGTGTAATCCCATCAACCGCCAAGGTTCAGAAACTATAAAACCCAGCTTCCAGAAGGGCAAGGCTGTTTGCGGCCGCGCGACATCTTATCATCTCATGCCTACTTTGGACAAACTGGCAGGCTACCGAATGTAACCTGCCCACACAGCAGAGTCTGGCAAACCCCCGTGGCGTACCCAATAAGCCAAATACCAGTAACAATGAAGGGTCTCATTCTCCTAACTCTGAAAGAGCCTTGAATATGGCACTTTTTTAAAAAAGTCTCAGGGCTAGGATGAAGGAGATGTTACTGGGGCCTGCTCGAGGCAATCGATGAATAACAGGACGGTTGTGATTGGTTGTGATCATTACTTTCTACGTCAGTATTTTTGATCTTTATTGAGGCAGCTGAAGAAAGTATGTTACTTGGTAAACCTAGACCAGGCCTAAATAACTCCCCCCCTCCACCCACCCCCTGCCAAGCCCTTAGCTACCCACCATTTCTGATAAGAGATATCAAAGAAATACTGAACTGAGTCTCGGGTGATCTAGATGGCTAGCAACATTTTACACTCTGACATAACAGGGTTCATTTCCCTGACATGATTCCCAAAGTGTTCAGATTTTATTACCACATTATTGGGCAGGAAAGGTCCCAAATGAGAAAGAACAAAAAAATTCATGGCCACTTTTCTAAGAAAATAATAGAAACAAAAAAGAAAGCACTTTGAATGAAGAAAAAAAAAAACCCAAATAACAAGGAAGTACTTTGTAGTTCATGAAAGAAATTACAGCCTAGTAAGTCCACTTACATAGGCGGTAGTGACTACAGGAAAGTTTTCTGACTTAAAAAACTTAACTGTATATTAATACGAAACTGTTCATCTATTTAAGTACTGTTCACTTTGCAAGGTAGCTGTCATTTGCAAATATATTTTTATAACCAGTTAACTTTTCAAGTAAAGGACAAAACATTTCAATCCACTAGCAAAAAGAAAATTGGTTATTTCTAAGTGGATACAACTGATATAAGCAGATAGACTATTAAGTATCTTCTTAAAAGAAGTTTAGACTCAGGGATGGAGTCAGCTCATAAGGAGGTAGTTTGCATTAAGAAAGCAAGAAACAATACCATAACCCTGACCATTTTCCTTTAAAAAAAATTATAAAGATGAAGAATTGGTTTGAGGAAAGTGTTACAGTTAACCTACTTTTTTGGTTGGTGTCAGGAATCAAACCCTTTAGCTTTGAATGTACTCTAGCACTGACCCACATTCCTTGTCCCATTAACCACCTTTCATGCTTTAAAATTCGTGCAACCATTTTGCCTCAGTATTTTGCACAAACTAGTCCAATTTAACATGATTAAAATTTGACCCCGGCAGAATTAAAACAACGCAAAGCTTCAGCAAGTTATGTAGTATGCTTAATGAATGTCATGTCAACTAAAATTCAATTTGCATGTAAAAAAATTCCAACTGAAAAAAAGAGGGTAGTGATATAAATTAATAACATGGAAGTATATAACTTAGCAGCAGTGGACTTATAGGATACACTTCTTTTAAGAAATGAATTTAAGCAGTAGTATTGCTAAGTAAATAATGAACAGATACGACAGCAGCTTTCAAGACTTTTAAGCTTTTAAACATAGGCTTCTATCCTCTAAGACCAGTATTCATATTCTTGTCTTTTTTCATATTCACTATAGATCTGAATAAATTATTAGGAAAAAAAAGGCAGGATGTAAATCAATGGTTTGAGCAATACTGACATTAATAAAAGATGGTCCCCATCACCTTCCAGATTTACCTTCTAGTCCTGTTACTAGGATAACTAAGATCTAAATTTGTATTAGAAACTGCTCAACTTACACTTTAATTAGGAAGGTATTTAAATCTCATTAGAAAAGCCTGTGTGACCTAATTTATCTTAAGCAGCACATCAGTGCCGTAACATCTATCAAAGCAAAAATCCATTAGAATAAAATGCATGTTCAAGTGTCTCACTGTTAGGAAAAAGAGAGAATAAAGTATCACTCAGACCTCATATCAATTAGACAACTTTTACTAAATGAGATAACTACATTTAAAATGTGCTTTAGAACAAAATGGAATTAGAAAAAAAGACATATGCATTTGAAAGAACTTTGCACTGTGCTGAAAACCAAATCTCTTGCAGTAATATAATATGCCAATTCATAAAATGTAAGTTAACAGAATTCTCAATTCAACATTTTCAAAGACAACATTAAGGTCAGGAATTTCACATCTATGGTAGCACATATATAAGGGCATTATAAATATGATGTCCACCTTGTGAAGCTTACAAATTTGACAATGCTCAATAAGTTTTTAGCATCACATCCGAAAGTGTTGCATCCAAACAATCAACAAATCTTTGTCCTGAATGTCCTCCTAAAATCTTTGTTGGCTTTTCTACTTGTCTTTTGTTAATACCAACTCTTAAGGAAAAAAAAAAAAAAGAAATGGTGCAATAAACCCTTGATCATGTACAGAAATTATTGCTACTAGTCACTACAAAGCATGTCTATACATTATCATAATGAACTTTGATCATGAAAAATCAGAATAAAAATCTTTAGTGACATAAGCCTTACAATCGTATACAACATTCACGTGGCAATATTAGACAGTTAAGCACCCAATACCCACAGTTGACATAATGTCCCACTGACCAGCATTCATTTAAATATATCCTTTTTAGAGGGAGGGGGAAAAAATTGTCAGCTCTCCAAGGCTTGTCAAAAAAGGATTCTCCTGTTCCATGGATCTAAAATCAAAAAATAACAAAAACCCAAAAAACAAAACCAATGCAGGTGAGGGTGTTACCAAGTTAAGCATGCCAAAAAGGTGTTGCGTGCGAATTAAAACCTAAAGCCAAGGTACCACATAATCACATTACCAACTAGTTGGGTAATACTATGAGCCTTATCTTAAATGAAATGCTACTGCACAATAGAGCATCAATAAGTTAAATATTAGAGTGCACAAATTCAAAATCAGTGGCAACTTCTGTATAAAGCGAAATATTTACTGTCAGCTGTAGAGTTTGCCCAAACTGTTTGATTAAATCACCAGACTGAAGTTTCCACATTAAATTTTTTTTTTCTCAATTCCTTTTAATGTAATGAAGCAGTTTCCTTAATAAGATTGGGTACATGAGAATATCAGAGAAAATAATAGTGAATGTCTGAATGTCTTTAAAGCCACATTTCACTTTTAAAAACATTTCCTTCCCACATTTCACTTTTTAAAATGATTAGGGAAAAATTAAAATACTTGCCATTTTTCTAGCAAAAACAAACAAAATAAAACAAGCCCAAAATAATTAAACAACCAAGCAAACACTAAAACCACATTACACAGATGGATCATCATGCTTTCATCTGCATTAACTATCACATCTAGTTTACTGGGATGCTTCTCAACTTTAAAAAAGTGTGATACGTGAAAATGTAACTTGAATGGGTAATTTTGAATTTGGATTGAACTTTGTTGAGTATTATAACAGAGTATACTTATTACAATACAGTGTAGCACATCTATTAGAAAAAAATTTAAGATCCTTTACCCGTCTCCTTCAAGTTAAAGGTGTGACATCATAAAGGGTGTCAAATGGCTGGATGTTTTACAGTGCACACTTATATATTATGAAGTATGTCCTTAACAAAGCTGATGGTTTCTTTCAAGCTCCTTTTCTTCACCTTTTCTTCGGTGGATTAGCTGTTCGAGGTGGAGTGACCGGACGTCCTGAATTCAGTCCACCATACTGGTACTTAGCTTTCTTTTCAGACGGTTTCAATATCTTAAAAGCAAATATTTGTTAAGAGTATTATTTAGCAATCAAGAAAATCACCTCAAAGATGGGTTTCTCAAGAAATGATTACATGAATTCTAAAAGTTCACATGCAGACAAGTAGAAAAAAGCTCCACAAATATTTGTTTTAAAGAGCATATCTGTTGGAATATCTGAGTACTGCAACTCACAATCCATTGATCATACAGTAACTCAGTAAGAGAAACTCAATTAGACAAATCCTATCAATTATCAATCCTTAATCCTCCCCCCCCCCCACCCCTGCACACACACACAAATTAGTGTCTCCTGTGTGAAAATAACGCTTAAGGGATGAAAGTTCTCACCATATTACCACTGTGGCAGGACAACTAGCCACATTTAAAATTTTTATAGGGGCCACAATAGTTTTAGGATTGTACCAGAGGTTAAAGGTGTCCATGTTGGAAATGAATGCACCACTTCATGTGTGCTAGGTATGTGCTCTAAAACTCTAGTTAGGGGTCCCCAGACTTTGCTTTTTTCAGATGATATACAGCAATGCTCAGGGTCCGTTACTCTTAGAGGTACTCAGGAGACCATCTGTGGTGCCCAGATTCACACTGGGGTCAGGCGGGTGCAAGGTAAGTGTGCCTTAATTCCCGTACTCTTCATCCAGTCCAAACCTTACCTTAATTTGTTAAGTTTAAATAGAGCTTTAAAAAGAGCACAATATTTAAAGGCTAGAGGTTACCTCAAAGGGCTGGAGTACGCGCTTTGCAAGCACGACTGTATGTGCAACTCCCCCAGCACTGCTGGTGTGACCCTGGTGGCCCCCAAGAACATCTCCTCTAAGCTGAAGTTACGAAACCATCAGGATGGCAGAGCCAGGCTAAGAATAGGTCAGAGACAACTGGCCCCCAAAGCAGGCCCCCTCAAATTAACAAAAGTGTAAACTTAACATTTCTTTGTTTTACATAATCCATTTTGTTCTAAAACGAATTTATAATTGATGCATTTAATATATTTAAGTAGGTATAACCACTAATTAGGTGACCTTTTTCAAACACAAAGACTGTTTCCATAAAGCCATTATGTTTTATGAGCCATTTCTGCTCTCTATTCCTTAAACCTCCCTCAACTCCAGGCAATCACTATTCTACTTATTAGATAATTATTCTAGCTAAACTATCAATAAAACCATTAATACATGGTGCTTTGTAACTCGTTTTCATAGAGATACAGTCACGGTCCTCCCGTTATTCATCTATTTGCTCGAGCGGACTCAGTAACGTCTCCATTGTGACACTTGTTACTGTGTTTGGCATATCGAATACGTCACGGGGAGCTTGCCAGGCTTTGCCGTGCGGGCGAGATACTCTCGGTAGCTTGCCGGGCTCTCCGAGAGGGGCGGAGGAATCAAACCCGACTCGGCCGGGCTGGCTGCAAGCAAGGAAATGCCCTACCACTGTGCTATTGCTCCAGCCCATAGAGATGTTTTTCACAGAGATGCTTTTGATATTTACTCATGCTCAAGTGTTTTGCCAGGACTTCAACAACTTGACTGCTAGGTATATGTCACTCAATACTCTATTTGAGAGTAACTATTTTCAAATATTTTGGTTATACATAGGAGTAAAATTCTGGGTCATGTAGAAATTATTTAAAGCTTCTAATTTCTCCACATTCTCACCGATACTTATTACTATTTGATGTTTTAAATTGTATTTATGGTGGATATAGAGTTTAAAGTACATTGAAACATCAAGCTTTATTCCAAAATAAAAATTTACGTATGTGTTCAAAGATTTTTGAAGCATTTCTTAGAACTATTTATATAATATCTCAGTGAAAAATGTTAATTCAATTCCATGATGGCAACCGATGAAGAACTGGTTACTATTCTTTAATTATGAGAAGCCAATCTGTAATTCAATTGTACTAGCTGAAGAAAACAGTATCATGAAAGAAAGATGGCAAAGCTATTCTACATGTAAAAAGAGAAATATAGGGCATGTATGCCAGGGATATAAAATAACCTATGTAAAAAGAAAGTATTAAAGTTGCTTTAATCTATGTAATAGAGATTTCTAATGATCCCATGAACATTACCATTTCAGAATTAAACTGATTTTCTTGTTCAAAGAACACAAATCTGATAAAAATTCCAGGAACAGTTAATTAGACATCTGATTGTTATAAATTTCTATTTACATACCTGAAACGAACACATCAAAGTCTCATCCACACTCATCATTCCACCAGCATTATCAAACTCGCCACAGTAATTTGGGGCTGAAAATAGGGTTACCAACTGTCGTTTAGCAAAAAACTCATATCCGTCTTCCACCACCTAACAAAAAAATTTCAGAAGAAATACTAATGTCAGAAGAAAAGGCGATTCTTTACAGATAATTCTTAATCATCTATACTACCTGAAACTAATATACACAGACCAAGACAATTTTGTTCAGGAAGATGGAGTCGGAGGGGTGAGAGCGCGCCATGCCCAGCAGTGCTTAGGAACCATGCAGGGCTCTGGATCAAACACAACCATGGAATGAATACAAAGCATGTCCTTTAAGCTATCTTCCAAGACCTTGATTTTTCACTCTAAAACTCTACTTAGGACATAAAAATGATGTGTTTTATGCAACCCCCCAATGGAAAGGTCTCAGCCTAAATAATAAAGTTATTACTACTAAAGTTTCAAACTCATGCTGCTTTGAAAACTCTTCAGGAAAAATAAATGTACTAATAGTGTGTTATGTCTACAGGGAGTTGAGATAAGTACTTATTAGATGATGTCATTAAAATTCAACTACAGACTGTTTTGTTTTGGTATTTTAGCGTCCTTACTCTGCAATGCTCAGGACTGACACCTGGCTCTGTGGGCTCTGTGCTCAGGCATCACTCCTGATGATGCTTTGGGGGCTTTAAGTGGTAAACAGAGATTGAACACGGGGTAGCCATAAGCAGGGCAAGCTCCCTTCCCTGCTGCACTGTCAGTTTAACCCCTCAATGATTCATTCTTACATTTTAAAAGGCATGAAAGTATGGCTGTGCAAAAACTTTCTCAATTCTAAGCTTCTATATGTATTATGTTGCTGGAAGTTGGAAATTCCAGTAAGTCAAGCTTAATTTAGAATCTGTAGATTCTAAATGCTAAAGATTATCTAACTGTACCTATATACTATATACATGTACATATACATATGTAAACAGTAATTTTCCTTAACGATTAACATCATTATTAGAATACGTTGTCAACTCCTGTGTTAACCAACAACTCATGCTCCTCAGAATTATAAATCTGAGAGGTAGGCAATGACATGCGAAACATTAATACTTAAAATAAGCAAGAATTGGGGCCACTGCGATAGTACAATGGGTAGGGCGCTGTCTTGCACTGCATGTGGCTGACTTGGTTTGGTCCCCAAAACCCCATACGGTACCTCAAGCCCCACCAGAAGTGATCCCTGAGCACAGACCCAGGAGTAAGTCCTGAGCACTGCTGGGTGCGACCCCAAAACAAACCAAAAAACCTTTGTGATGTATTTTCAAAAAGCAAAATTGTCTCACAACACTAATATTAGAACACACTCCTAGGGTGAGAGAAACGGTTTAAAGTCTAAATGGTTTTAAAGCATGCGGAAGGCTTTGATTTTATCCTAGCACTGCATGGTGCCTCCAACAAAGAGTGAAGTCCAAAAGAAAAATGCAGTAACAACAAAAAAATCCCCATTAATCCAAAAAACAAAAAGCCCAAGTAATTCTAAAACTGTAACGTTTTTCCTGAAGGTGATATATAGGACTAACTCCTGGCTCTGCACTCAGAGATCACTACTGGCGGGTCATGTGCAAAGCAAGTGCTTTACCCACCATGTTCTCTCTTTGGCTCTCATTTATTTATTTATTTATTTATTTTGCTTTTTGGGTCACACCCAGCGATGCAGAGGGGTTACTCCTGGTTCATGCACTCAGGAGTTACTCCTGGCTGTGCTCAGGGGACCACATGGGATGCTGGGAATCGAACCTAGGTTGGGCCACGTGCAAGGCAAACGCCCTACCCGCTGTGCTATCACTCTAACCCCTCTCATTGACATTTTAAGTAACTTCTAACTGAGTACCAGGTACATCGTATTATATAGTCAACCATGACAGAATTTAGATAATAAAATTTCCATTCAAGTGAGGTAGAGTCGGTAGAACTAAGGACTAAGCTCTTCATTTGTTCACTTAGTCATTCAGTCACACGCCTACTAAAAGCAAAGACTTTTTATTTAAGAAAGTATCTGTATCTGTATTGTTTCAAAGTCTCGAAGTTCTAAGAAGTAATGTGTTCAAAACTAGGTAGCTTCAGATATGGATTAAAACATTTTATTCAGTGCAGTGAAAACAATGTTTCTGAAACTTCCTTAGGTGGAAAAGGTTAAAAGAAAAACCAATATTATTGCTAGATTACACTGAGATCAAGTTACAGGCTTTACCTCTCCTACTGCCTTTCTTCTGTAACTAGAATTCTTGGATCTCAGGACATCAAATGTAAGGAATGATCTTGTATCAAATCTTTAAAATATCCAAGAATTTTATATTTCATACCTGATGAGCTCGACAAATCAAGTCTAAATCATGACGATTCAGAAATTTACTGACTACATCAGCTCCAAAAGTAAAGGAAACACCACGATCATTTTCTCCCCAGCCCTGTACATCCTTATCTGGATCAGACCACAATAAATCACAGAGCAAACCTTAAAAGAATAAAAACACAGCAATAAAATACAAAATTCATAAAATAAGATACATCTACATTACATTTCTTATCCTTTAGTAGCTATAATTGCTTGCTCTTAAAATCCCAGTCTATCAAACTTCATTTCTCTTTCTTACAGAAAACATACAAGTAAGATTTTGGTTGGTCACTTAAGGTAGTACTAACTCCATGTTAGAAATGTGTTTACCTTACTCTGTACAGAACATTCATAAAAAAGTTAGTTGATCTTTTGTACATAATTTGCAATTTATCAATACAAATAACCGACTGATCCAGCAGCACTTCCCACATAATTCAACCAGTCTTTACATAGCTACTACCTTCACTGTTTATGGTCACTGTAATCTATCAACAGCATACTCTATCCCTAAGCCACTAACACACTAGAACTTTTATTCTCAATCCACTGTTCTTCCACATAAACTCCAAGATCAGTTTCCACATAACTCCATGAATCAGAAGGCTTTATTGGGATTGTACCTGATCTATAAATGAATTTGAGGGAAATAAATTTTTTTCTGTTAAGGATTGGGGATTTATATCAATTATGGTAGAACAAAATCAAAACAGATCTGTAAAAGAGCATGCTTTTACAGAGCATGCTCTGGGTTTAGGAATGAGATCTAAACATTTTTATCTGGGTGTCTCTATCACATTTTGTAAAATAAGTCTTATGATAAACTTAAGACCATGCTAAGAACATCGCGTGAAAAGGTCAGTAAATGAACTCTTGAGTAACCAAATATCCAGTAAGTGGGCAGGGGGAGAATGAAAATGAAAAGGTGATCAAAACAAAAGCCGGGGTCACAGAGAGTCCCATATGACTATCAGCAGTAGGAAATGTTCTTTGAATTTCTGATGCCATGGACTGAAGTAATGCTTCACACAGGAAAGGCACATAGTGTAACTACTAAGCATTATTCTTGGCCCAGAAGTAGGTAATTGTTAAACTTCCAACTACTGTAAACAAGCATTTAAAAAACTGTGTGGCTTACAATCAGAAGATGACATCATAAATGTTTAAGAATTAGGTGGGAGAGGAAAGGAAAAAAATCTAATTGCAGTAGGTGTCAACACGGCGGGGGGCCTGGGTGCCAGCCGAGCTCCAATGCCAGGCTAGAATGCACTAGTCCTTAGCCCAGTGACGCTGGCGACCACTACTAGGCCACTTAGCAGTGCTGGAGGCTGAACCCACGCCCTTGCACCCATCCCTTCTACTGATCCATCCCTTTAGAAAAGATTGAAAGATTGTCTTAGAATGAGTCCATCTGGAGATGTTTTTTAGAAACTAAAAACTCCTGCTTTTCTAACAGCTTGCCTTGATGGTGAAATGACTTCAAGTATCTTGTAGAATTGGCTGTCACTGTAGCTAGTGCCTATCGTTATTTCCTATATTTCTACTATAAAGCTTTAACAAATCCACAACAGTACAAATTCACAGGAATGATCACCATTTCTCAGACCTATCTCATTCCTTTTTTCACCAAAAGTACATGTACTACACACAAATGCAGGATGTCAGTGAACTGGTTAGAACTGGTGCTAAATAAGACCTGTGACCAAAAAGGGGAAAGATATTTGTTTCCAGGGACAGCAAACCATAGAAATGCAACTTTGTGCTTGAGAGGGGAAATAACGAAGAGCTATTTAGATACCTCTCATGCTCGTGCCATGTCAAAAGTAAGGAATTTTTGGTGACTAGGAATTGTCCAGCCCTGTTTGATAAAAAGGAAGGGCAGGGAGTTTTTCTCGTGTCTACTATTTCTCAACATCCTCCACTTCAAAATAATCGTCACACTAACCCCTAAACATGCATTTTTTTTTCTTTTTGGGTCATACCCGGCGATGCACAGGGGCTACTCCTGGCTCATACACTCAGGAATCACTCCCGGCGGCGCTCAGGGGACCATACGGGATGCTGGGAATCGAACCCAGGTTGGCCGCGTGCCAGACAAATGCCCCACCCGCTGAGCTATCGCTCCAATCCCTTAACATGCATTTTCTCTCTCCCAAATGCTGCGTTTCCATTGCAGAAGGTCAAGGCACTAATCTATAATTTCAATGTTCAATGAAACTAGAATACAGTTCCTTTGGGAATTAAATTCCTATGGAAGTATCACAAAATTACATATGACAGTCTAGAGGCATTCTAAAATTATGCTCAATTAAGAAACCTACCCAATGTTTCACCACATTTCCGCCCCCGCTTGTTTTGGAGCCATACCTGGTGGTGCTCAGGGTGCCACACGTAGTGCCAGAGACTGAGGAGAGGTAGCTTGCATGCAAGTCAAGTGCCCTAAACTATCTCTCCTATCTCTTCGTCCCTCAACCCCAATCCACCACAAATGGGTCATTCTTAGAGCTGATGTAGATCTATGGGGTCACACCCTGCAGTGCGAAGAGGAGTTACAGCTGGCTCTGCACTCAGAAATCACCGTCTGGTGTTCAGGGGACCATATAGGACATAGGGAATAGAAGCCAGGTGGACCACACATAAGGCAAGTTTTCTACCCATTGTACTCTTGCTCCCGCCCTGAACTAAATTATTAACAGAAACTGCAAAAGCAATGACTTAAAATATTTTCCTATCCAATTATTTATAAATGCCCTAGTATTTAAGTGATAATCTCTTTCAGGTTTAAATAAATAGTATCTAAATCTAGTAAATGGATGCTTCTATTTTGTAATAATACAAATAATGTTAATTATAAGACTGTTATGAGGTGAGGCTGCTTATAACAAGAAGCAAATCTCATTTGCTACTGACAACAGAGGATCAATACAACTGTTAATAAACGGCTGACTTTCAATCATGTGTAGCATTTTGAATGTTTCTACCATGTGTCAGTAAGCTGAGCAGGAAGACCAAATTACATAGGCAAACAATCCAACACCTGTTTCTTAAGAGCCCACTTTAGAGCTACAGCCATATTTTTGCTCAGGTACTGATTTATCTATTTTAATGCTCTTTCTATAGAACCTTTAAATCTTCAAAGTGGGATTTCAATATAGTAACCATTCAACCCAATCAGTATTTGATGAGCAATTACTGCTTACAAAATTATCAACAAACAATCCTTCTATAAGACTGTCCCCACCAGCCAAATATAATGTTCCTACTACATAAAAGGATTTCTATAGCTCATGTCACAAGCTATGAGCCTTACTTTGAGCATACTGATGAACAGAACCCCTAACGGGTGCCTCTGGTAGCAATGGCACAAGCAATCTAGCTAGGTAACTGTGTTCTAAAGTGAAACGTGGTATAAACCAAGCGAAGGATATTTTTCATATTATGAGTATTTCTAAGATGTAGTTATAAAATTTATTTGCTCAACACTGTACACTCAACTTGAATTTATCTGTTTTGACTTGCTTCATAATTTCAGAGTTATTCTGAATGTCTGACTAGCCAATTTCGTTAATTTTTTCACAGGAAAACTCCTTTTCATAAAACCACATCGCTATAATATCAAGAAGGTTTTATATAGATTACAAAAAGTAACAGAAAGCCACCAGATAATTTAAAGGTTAACTGTATTCTCAGAGCTAAGAAGGAAAAAATACTGGACTCATTTTCAACAAGTTTCTGGAGGATACAACCAATATGAATAGGGCTATATCCAATGACAAGTGAGGGAATTTATAAAGAGAGCAAAGGGGAAATCAGCGGTATCTTTAGCGATATGTATTAAAAAACCATACATGATCAGTTATAAATATACTGTTTTAGATTCTGAGTAGTAACTAGTGCCAAGGTAAAAAAACTTAAAAAAAAAACATATTATACTGTCTTTTATTTTTACTACAAAGTAAAATTTTATTACATATACAAATACTACTTACACTAAAGTTTAATTTAACTGAATTGTAATTTATCATGTTATTGAGGTTAAACACGAATTTTTAAATATATTTAGATTTTACATTTAATGCTTAAACTTCCCTATACACTTACCTGTATCAGGGACATCAGTGGGTCTCATAATTCTCCGAATCTGTTCCATAGATTGCAGGTCTGGTGACAGTCCTAGAAATAAAAGTTATAGTACTAAAAACTTGCCTTCAAGTCACTCAAATGAAAAAACATTTAATCAAAATAGATTCCTATGTAAAATCAGCTACCAAAAATACTTCTTTCCAATGCCATTTTTTGAGTTACTAGTCAGAAACCCAATTTCATATAACTTAAAGGTGTAAGGGCCATCATCACTTTTCCCTACAAGGGATTTAATTCCCTTTTATTTGAAAAGAAAAAAAGGGGGGGGGGCGGGTCACACCTGGAGATATTCAGGAATTTCTCCTGACTCCGCAACTCATGACTCAATCCTGGTGGAGCTCCAAGGACCAGTGCCCACAGGAACCAGTGCCACCATGCTCCACAATATGGGATGCGGCGGACTGAATCTATGTCAGCTGTGTGCAATGTAAAGGTCCTACCCCTGCCCCTTATAGAAAGGTTAATTTAAATCCTTCCTACTGCTTCTGGATCTCCTTACCACCTAATCGTGCGCATTTTAACTTCCAAGTGAAAGTATCTCACTCAGTCCCACAGACCTTCATACATTCCACACTCCAACAAGCTCATTACCTTGACAAAACTATTGTTGATAATAAATAAACCTATATATTTTACTGTGTTTAAAGAACGGTACATGAACATAAGATACAATTTCTCTTCAGTTGTCATCCAAGTATCACAGAAAATTAATATTCAGTCTCATGTTAAATTCTTATTTAACCTACATGAATAGATATCTTTATAATTTCTTAATTTAATTTTAACTTCTGGCGTGTAAACGGTTTAATATACTGTATTTATCAAAATAGCCACTCTAAGTTCAGGCCTATAAGAGCTGATTTTTATTAAAGAATTTCTCCATTTTTGGTTCTCTTGCAAATTGATGAACTCTCATTAAATACTTCTGTACTAAAAAAAAAACCTCATTTACTTTTTTATTCAGGCTCAATTTTCTAGAATCAACTCCATTATTCTCCAACACATAATAATGAACAGTCTAGCCAGAATTCTGAAGTAATATTTCAGGACTGTCACACTGTCACTGTCCTCCCGCTGTTTATCGATTTGCTCGAGCGGACCCAGTAACATTGTGAAACTTGTTATTATTGTGTTTGGCACATCGAATACGTCATGGGGAGCTTGCCAGGCTTTGCCGCACAGGCGAGATACTCTCGGTAGCTTGCCGGGCTCTCTGAGAGGGGTGGAGGAATCAAACTCAGGTTGGCCCGGTCAGCCCCGTGCAAGGCAAATGCCCTACCAGCTGTGCTATTGCTCCAGCCCAGCCAGAATTCTAACAACCTGAAAACAAAGACTGTCAAATGTCCATGCCACCTTTGAAAGTCTATTTATCCTCTAAAGCACCTTACTCAATAAACATCCAACAATGCTCTCCCATTCCAGAGTTCTGATAGTAACTACTATGTCTCCAAGTACCATGCACAATCAAATCCCTTTCATTATTCAACATGCTTAGGAAATATAATTTGTTTTAAAATTCCTCAGACAGCCAGAGCAGAGTCTCTATATTTTTATGACATTTAGTCAGGTGCTAGACTATTTTTCAAAAGAACTTTTAATATTAAAATTTCACAAATTATGCAGACTAACCTACCAAAACTTGCTTTTAAAGTAAAGCAGTTAAGAAGTCTCTTGGCATATGGAAATATACTCAATCACGTTCAGAACCTAATCATAATCTTCTCATTAATACAACACCAGGAAAAAGTTAAGGCAAAGACAAGACTGTTTAATTACTCGAGATTTCATATATTCTACTTTGTTTTCTTATGCTATCAAAATATTTTAAAATCTTTTCTAAACAAAGAAATCTTTTCTAAATAATAGAAAAGTAAGAAAAACCTGTAAGGGAAATTTACTAGTCTACCTCCATGACAACAGAAGATCTTCTCATCGACAATGGCAGCTATAGGCAGACAGTTAAAACAATCAGTGAAGGTCTTCCACAATTTTATATTAAACCTCCGTTTGCCTATGAAAAGAACAAACAAACAGAATGAACTAAAGTTGCAGCAGTCATCTCAAAGCCAAATTATTATTTCAATTTTCCCCTTATATTTATCTGCACTTCTCTACATTCTACCTATTTTAAAACATAAGTATGAGTAAAGTTATTAGAAGTGTTATGCTGCTTTCTGTTCTCCCAGTGCCAGATCTTGAAATTGGCGTAATTCTGGAAGCTCTGCTGTTTGAGCCTGGCAGCTGCCAGCCAGCCCCAGCACTGTGCACAGCCAAGAAGTGTGACCCATGGCTGAGCATGTGTGAGTACCAGAGAGCCCCAATGAGCACTAGCACAGTAACTTCCGGATGCCTCAACGTTATGAGGTTGAGCGCGGCAAATATGGCAAATGCAGTGGGAGTTACGAATCCTAGGAAAGCTTGTGGTCAAGCATAAAAGCACTGCCACTTATTGTGTGACCCCCAACAAGTGTTGCAGCTTTGAAAAAAAGCTCAAGCTACACAAGCAAGTGCGGGTGCAACCCTCAGTCATCACAACATAAACAACAGAGGAAACAAAGGAAGGTCGGGAATTTTTAAAAGGTGTCATGACAATTTTGTATTAACATTTGGGATATGAACTAAAATTCTAATAATAAGCTTTAACTTAAAAATAATTTCAGAGAATGGCTCAACAATACTTGATTTGGGTTTTTTTTTTTTTTTTTGCTTTTTGGGCCACACCAGGCATTGCACAGAGGTTACTCCTGGCAGTGCTTGGGGAGCAAATGGGAGGCTGGGTATCGAACCCAGGTCAGCCGCGTACAAGGCAACTGCCCTGGCTCAACATTACTTGTGACACAGGACAGGACCAAAGGGTTTGAGAAGTAAAAGCTCAGTAAACCTAGACCTTTAGAGACCACTGTGAGCTGTTTCACTTATTTTCATTAGGAAATATAATTTCAAGAGGACTTTCTAGCTAAACTCCAGTCAACCTGAAACATGACCAACTAGCAAAGAACCAATTTAATTAGTAACATGTTCCCCAGTTTCAGGGCCCACTTCCATATAAGGCTCTCTTCTTGGGCTTCATGGATTTCACTCAGACACAAAGGAACTCTTAAAATGGAAAAAATGTTTATGAATAAAAATTTATTATCTTTTTTACTTACATTCATCATAGAATCCATATATACGATTAATGCTAGCACATTCATGGTTTCCTCTTAAAAGAAAGAAATTCTCTGGATATTTGATTTTATAAGCCAATAGCAAACAAATGGTTTCCAAAGACTGCTTTCCTCTGTCCACATAATCTCCTAGGAAAAGATAGTTGGCTTCTGGTGGGAAGCCTCCATATTCAAATAACCGCAGCAAATCTGTATACTGTCCATGAATATCTCCTAAAAATAGAAAATGTCCGTTTCAGAAATTCTGTTAACTGTGATAAACGTTATATGAAGTGACACTGTTTTCATCTTCACATAATACTCGCTAGTATGAGTTTTGGATAGAGACTGGCTTCTAACAAAGTTAGATAGGCTTTCACACCTGACATATTACAAAAGACTGTAACCTCCCTTTTTCTTAACCCTTTCAACAATGGATGAAGCCAGCTAGCTCTCTTATAGGTGAAAATACAAGGCAAAGAACTTTATAAAGGAGGCTCTGGCCAAGGGCTCTTTCGGAACGAAGGCCTTGGCCCATCTGCCCATAAAGAATTGGTTCTTTTCATAGTTGAGATTAACGGCAGTCCCAGAAAATATCTTGAATGCAGCCTCAAGAAAAACTCAAGATCAGAGAATTCAACAATACCCAAATGTCTGACTCAGAGAGACCATGAGATGACAAGCTAAAGTTTTACGTTACAAACCTGCACATATTGTGTCATACAACAGGTAAATAAACCAAAAGCTTTCATAAATGTCAGCACTAATGCTTTAAAAAAATACAAATTTGTTTAACAAATTAAAACTACTTAAATCTGTAATAAAGGATCAGAATTAGTTAGGAGACCCTGGGTACTACCCTAGTGATCCTCAAAATTCTATACCTCTTTCTAACCAGTGTATTAAAAATGCCCATTTCTCTGTATCAGCGACAACAGATCATCACCAATTTTAAAAACCATTTTGCTTCAATGAGTTTAGGATTTATTTATCTAGGAATGTTAACATTTTGTCTAAATCTGAGCAGAGCTTAGGATTTGTTTTTAAATTATATCTCACTCATCTCTAACAAGATTAATGATATTATATTTCCTGGACATATGAATTCTATGAAAGTTCTTCCTCCATTTTCTTTTATTCCACAGTTTTTTATTTGTAGTAAGTTCTTACAATTAGAATAACATTTATTTTGAATAGCAATCTTTCAATTTCAAACTTCGGTCTACCTTGTTTCTGTCTTAAATGCTAAGATTTTATGGGGGGAAAAAAAATCCTATCAATGTTTTGCACAGACCTAAAAGACAAGTTGTGTGAGACTGGGGAGGGAAGAATTGTAAGGATCAAGTCCAAGACCACACATTCAAGTATTATGGACTCTCAGCATTGAATTCCATTCCTAGCCCATTATTATAAAAAAAATTTTGAATGTTTTCTATGGATCATGTACAACTTAAACACTAAGGGAAATCTATAAATAAAAATAGCTTGCTTCCAATTTTTCCAATTTACATACCACAAATTTTCAGCGGTGCTTCCAATTCCAAAAGAATTGGTTGGCTGAGAAAGATCTCCCGAGACTTGATACACAGGCCTCGAACTTCAGCTTCAGTCATCTGCACAATCTTCCCAGGTCGACATCCTCGTACTGACAAACAATAAATAAAAGTCAGTTCTCTGAAACCTATCCATCAAATAGTAATCCTTAAAGTAAAACAATGCCCATACTTTGAAGATCCAGATAACCTGTTATGTGTCTAATGGCTAACAGGTTAACTCAGTCAATTTTGGCTTCTGCCTCCATTGACAGTTACCTAATACCACACCATAAAGACTGCTGGTATGGAAATGAGGTTCTCTTCTTCCTCTTCTAGACCAACTGGAAACTAAGCAGAGAACCCTAAAGATTTTAAGGTCAGCTGGTTTGGTTTACTCTCTCAGCAAGCTCTTGCATTCAGCTGAAGGTACAGTAGCACCTTTAAAAGAATAAGTGACTATGAAAAAAGGTTCAAATAAAAGGTGGCTATAAGTAGGTACGATATGCTTCATGTACTTCCCTAATTCAATAATTATGTTCAAGGATTTTAGTAACCACATCCTTTCAATTTTGGACAAAACAAAATTTGAAATGTGCCAGATATCTGACAAATGCTAACTCACTAGTTAACAAAGAGTATTAAATTGAAAACTTTAAAAACTAGATGGAAGAAAGCATTTCTTAAACACGAGTCAGCAATAAAATTCAATAAGTGATTCCCAGTATCTTCTAGGATGGAGTACGGAAGAATGGCACACAAACTGAAAAACAAACAAACTGTCCTCCAGTTGTTCATCGATTTTTGCTGGAGCGGGCCCAGTAACGTCTCCACAGGGAGGGTTTTTTCCTTTTACCCTACATTTGGGGGTAGGGGAGGCGGTACGGGTTATATCTGGTGATGCTCAGTACTGGCAGTATTGAGGATATGGGATACTAGAGACCGAACTCAGGTTGGTCCCATGCAAGGCAGTTACCATAACTGCTATACTATCTCGTCAGCTCCCAAACCATCTTTTTAAATATTACATTCCTTCATTAGCTCTTTCTGTTTTTCATACATAGGGCTAGCTGTATTTTAATCTTAACTGAAAGACTTTAAAAGAAAATAGGGAAAATTGAGAGAAAGCTCTAAGAGCTAAATGCAGGGATCCTACGTTGTTCTCTGGCACCATATGGTCCCCTGGGCACCAAGTCAAAAGCTCCCAAGAACCACCAGGTATGGTCCCAAAAGTAAAGTAACAACAACAACAAAAAAAGGGAGACTGTACACACACAACAGAAATCGTTGTCTCTAGAAAAGTCAATCTCATAATCAGGACTGTACTTTATACATCGAGCTAAAATGGACTCTGTTTAATACACAGATCTTAATTCTCTACTTTTAGTTTTGCTTTTGTGTCACACTCAACACTGCTCAGGACTTATTCCTGGCAAACTCAATGGCCAACATGTCCTGGGAATTGAACCTGAGTCTGCCTCATGCAAAGTAAGCAGCCTATCTGCTGTGCTATCACTCCAGCCCCTCTTTTTAAACTTAAAATAGAAGTAAAAATGTATCAAAAAGAACAAGAAAAAGCAACCAGTGCTGGTGCTTGTTGGGACTTTCATTCATTGTTGATGGAAATGTCCACTGGTCCCGACTGGTCCAGTCTTTTTGGAAACAATATGGGCATTCCTCAAAAAACTAGCAATTGAGCTTCCATAGTAACCCTGCAATAAATATCACTTCTGGGAATACATCCTGGGGCCCAAAAACCCAGCAGAAACACAATCTGCACTTCTATGTTCACTGCAGAACTAGGCACAATAGCCAGAATCTTGGAAACAACCCTGAGATCAGATAAATGGATAAAGAAAATATGATAAATCCACACAATGGAATACTATACAGCCACCAGGAAAAATGAAGTCCATGAAATTCACTTAAAAATGAAGGGACACAGGGTATCATGCTGAGTGAAAAGAATCAAAAGGAGCGCCATCCAATGGTTGCACTCATCTGTGAGATTAAAAAAAAAAAAACAACACTTTTATGAGACTAATATCCAAGGACAGGAGAAATGAGGGCCAGGACTGGTGCATGCGTTGGAAGTTTGCCATCATAAGTGGGGTGCAACGGCGGGGGCGGGGATTAGGCCAGAGAAGGGATCACTATGACAATGACAGTTGGAAATGATCACTTTGGACAAGAACTGAGAGCTCAAAGTGGGTCAAGAGACATGCATGATAACCCTGCAAATCATAATGCCCAAAAGGAAAAGGGGAGGGGGAAGAGGAAGAGAGCAGTGTCAGCCATGGAGGCAGGTGAGGGTGGTGGCAGCAAGGAAACTGGGGACACTGGTGGTGGGAAATGTACACAGGTGAAGGAAGGGTGTTGGAACACTGTCTACTGAAACCCAATCACAATCAACTTTGTAACCATGTATCTCATGGTGATTCGATTGAAAATAAATAAACTAAAAATACATGGAAAATACATGTCTTTTGCCCATTATTTTATGAGCTCCAGCCATGTTATTGTGCTTGACAGGCACTTGAAGTATTTTATTGTATGAACATTATCACATATACTTTTCTACTCTGCTTGGGCCTTTTCCAGTTTAGAACTATTACAAGCGCTATGTGAATCTGGTTGTACATTTCCTTGGGTTGCATATAATATAGAACTGGAAACAGACCACAGGGAAGGCTGTTTTCCTAAGTACTAAAAATCAGCTCTACAAAGTGATCATAACAATTTACAACCCAACCAATGACAATATTATTTATAATGTTTTTATAAAAATTTTCTGTTTGGGGGTTATACCCAACAGTGCTCAGAGCTTTCTCCTGGCAGGTCCCAGAGGATCATATGCAGTGCCCGGGATCAAGGTAAGGTCATTCACAGGCAAGGCACGTGTCTCAACTGCTGTATTATCTCTGGCCTTCAATCATGTCTTTGTGATCAGTGTGTATTTCATCCTATTTCTTTTTCTGGCTTTTCGTGAGGCATTTCCATCAGTCAAAAGTTGGTTTATAACCAGGATCCCACTAAATAATTGCTACACAGTACAGTTCTATTCATTACATCACATAAAAGGTAAACAGCTCAGCAAGGTATTCCCTAATGGCATATGGATGTACATTAGTCTTCCCGGGCAGTGACAGTGTAGAATTCTCGGCACCCACACGGTATATTCCCAAAAGCCAATTTGTGTGATTTTCAGCAGTACTAACAGTACCATGACTCAACCAAATGAAGAACCATAGGAGAAAGGGGGAATGGAAGGGTAGGTTTGTTTAGAAAAAAAAGAAATTGGCATGAACTCTAACAATTGTGCAGTGAAAGAGCATGCTTCCTCGATGCTATATTGTTTTAGTCTATCTCACTACAGTCCATTTATTTTTTGTATGGTTGAACAATCAAGTTTTTATTCATATAAAACCTCAATTGCTTTAGCAATATTTACTACAAAGATCACCCGTTCTTCACTGAACTGCCTTGATAGTTCTGCAGAAAAAAAAATCATTACCACACAGAATGGGCCTTTCTCCAGCACTGTAGTCCATTAATCTATTTTTAAATCAGTAATACTAGGCTTAATTATTGCAGCTTTTTAATTATAGAATCTAAAAATATATAAGCATTTCTATTATAAACTTTTCTATTCAGCAGTTTTTGTTTCATTAGTGGTTCCAACTACCAAATCCTTAATTACCAAATCCAAGTCCTTAAGTTTATGTAAATTTTAGTTGTGGTGCATCCAAGTTTCTGATGAACTTTTTCATCTCTGGGCTGGAGAGAGAGCTGCCAGGGCTGAGTGGATCCCTGCGTGCAGGAGGCTTAGGTTCGACTTCCGGCACCAGACCGCAAGCACCAAGGGGAGTAATGCGAGGAAGCTCCAAAAATATAGGGCCAGGAGGAGCTCCTGAGTATATCTGGGTGTAGCCCAAAGTAACAAAAACATTTTAATTCCACCTTCTTATCTTGAGCATATTAAACCAGGTGGAAACTGTGATAATTCTAAATGTTTCAATTAACTGAGAAGTTGTTCCTTTATTTCCCAGTCTTAATATTTAGCCTTGCTAGTTGTCCTGCAATGGTCCACTGACTGAAATGTTAAATAAAAATTACGAAGTTCTAGATGACTTATTTCAAAGAGGGTTGCTTCCTTTTAGCAGTAGAGCACTAGTAACTCATTGATATTTTTTGGAGGACAAATGATACAAATTTTTGCCCTCCATCTTAAAAAATGGCTGTTATGGGGTATCAAGGGAAAATTTGGGGCACAATATGGGCCCCTACAACTTGGCAGAATCATTAGAACTTTATTTAATAGCTGTGTCATGGGGTGTTTTTCTTTTGTCCCTCTTTTATGATTCTCTCCTAAGTCTCCACTACTTTAGAGGCCCCAGACTTCAGCTCTTCTCTACATTAGAGCTTACTGACACGTTTTGAAGTGCCCACTCCCTAAGCCTTTAGGAAAATGAGTGACTGCTGAGCTTACATAAACTTCTCTCAAAAAGCAAAACCACACACTTCTCCTGTACTGCCTTTCAACAATGAATAGGCTGTGTAAGAACAGAAAGAACACAAAGTATGACTGCACACAAAGCAGCATACTAGAAATTCATATTACTATATAAAGAATTTTGAGGAATATCTTGGCAAGGAGTAGACAGCGAGATCTAATCGTGTATTTTACCTGACTGAGTCACACAATTTTGGAAGGAGCACCACCATTGTCTCCTGACTCATGTTAGGATAATTGTTCTGCACAACCATGTTTACGTTAGAAAAGGGGGAAAAACACAATCTGAAGCGTCAGATTTGGCCCAGTGCTTTTGTGTGAATTGCAAACTGATTCTTTATGTAAGGGACAAAAAAAAAATTACCCCAAGGCACAAGTATTATATAAAATTCTAGTGACACTGTCCAGAAATAGTTTTACTAGAATACAACAGCTCTTATCTCCATTCTATCTACGGGTGTTTTTACCCTGTAATGGTAGAGTTGAGTGGCTGCAACAGAAACCACGAAAGCACTCACTGGCACCCAGCTTCTCTCCAGCTTATAAATTGCAGAGATGATTAGAACTCGATGCCTGCCGTGTTTACTGTTGCTCTGCAAG